AGGGAGCAGTGCATGGGTGCAGGAGGGAGCAGTGCATGGGTGCAGGAGGGAGCAGTGCATGGGTGCAGGAGGGAGCAGTGCATGGGTGCAGGAGGGAGCAGTGCATGGGTGCAGGAGGGAGCAGTGCATGGGTGCAGGAGGGAGCAGTGCATGGGTGCAGGAGGGAGCAGTGCATGGGTGCAGGAGGGAGCAGTGCATGGGTGCAGGAGGGAGCAGTGCATGGGTGCAGGAGGGGAGCACGCAACGTGCATGCAGGCATGCACGCACGCACGCATGCATGGAGGGCAGAAGGATCACCCTGCGAGCTCCTCGTCAAAGAGCGGTGGCTGCAGAATAGCAGGGATGGGCCGCGCTGCGTTCCATAGCTCCTGCCACAGATTGCCTGGCAGCACGGAGGGGGGAAGGAGGAGAGGGGCCGGGGAAGGGGGTTGACAATGGAAGAGCGAGGGTGGAATGCGGGGAGCGAGAAGCGAGAGGAGTATGGAGAGGAGAGTGAAGAAGGAATTGTGTGGTGCGGAAACCAGGGCAGGATGAAGGTAGGTAGTGACGAGATGAGGTGATGTGATGGCACAACAACAGTTGGTTCATGACGCCTTAACTGACGCTACCAGCAACCAGGGAGCACAGCTAGACAGCAAAAACGTTGTGCTGAATGGAGCATGCAAGAGTAGGGATTTGAGGTGCCTCATGCCAGGGGAAGCAGTATGCCGAATAAATCATGGAGCATGAAGCAAAGAGCATGACGCATGGAGCATGGAGCATAGAGAACAGAGACATGATGCCACATACACACCACGCATCACACCCACATATCGAATAGCATCCCAACTCATCTCATCACATCACAACGAATCCCACCCCATCATATCTCAACTCATCGCATCCCATCCCATCTCATCATATCCCATCAATCACATCACCCACTGCATGCACCTTGTGTTGTCATCCTCACGCTCAGATAACCATGCTTCCGTCTCCCCTCCACCACTCCACTCCCTGCAACTTCTCCTGCTCCTCCCTTCACTCCATCTCCCTTATCGCTCTCCTCCCCGTCCCCTCCTCTAATCTCCTTGTCACTTCCACTTCCAGCACCCACACTGCCGGCCTCCCTCTCGGGCGGCGTGGGCGGCAACATGCTCCAGTCGGGCGGCGAGTACCATCGCACAAAATCCTCCAAGATGCACCCGGGATTCGCTGCCTGCAAGGACGGAGCAGGGAAAGGTGACGGGGAGAAAAGAAAGAAAGAAAGAAAGTAAGAACCCTTGGGCTTCCAACGCAGGGCTGGCTGACTTAGAGAGCCCATGGAGGACCCAGAAAGGGACCGCCTGGCCTTGCATGCAAGTCACGGCTGCCTTGGGATTACCAAGAACCGAACGGGTATGGCGGCTCAGAGTCTTCTGTTTGGGCACTTTGCTTTTTCTAATCCGTGTCCCTCGAGCAAATTTATGCTTTGACCCGAAACAGTCCTTTGTCTCCCTCCTAGATTTTCACAACCCAAAGCAGGCCAACAATTTACAGAATGCGTCAAAGGACGTTGGGAGCTAGTACATTATCAGTCCATAACTCATAGCACGCACCTTGAAGGCCTGCATGTCTGAAAAGAGCTGCTGACAGCCCGTGCCCACACTGCAGGGAGGAGGGGCGGTGGGTGGAGGGATGCATGGACCATGTTGCATGAGCGGTACAAGGTGATCGATCGGCAGCCACGGCCCATGAGCATGAATGCTCATGCACACAGAGGAAAGATGACGACGAAGGGAGGGAGGGAGGGAGGGAGGGAGAGAGGGAGGGAGGGAGGGAGGGAGGGAGGGAGGGAGGGAGGGAGGGAGGGAGGGAGGGAGGGAGGGAGGGAGGGAGGGAGGGAGGGAGGGAGGGAGGGAGGGAAGCATGAATAGATAGTGAGACAAGGAGGGAGTGAGAAAGAGGAAGGGGGTGTGCTGGGGGAAGGGGGTAGGGCGGGGCGGAGGGGAAAGTACAGTGGAGGCATGGGATGGGATGAAGTGTCACCTGCCAGTCCTCATGATGAGCTCCTCTTGCTCTCTCAGGGTGACTTCTGTCAGCAACGGTCCCTCCTGCTCGTTGATACATACCACACGCGTGCATGCATGCAGGTAGACATGCATGCACGCATGCACAGATGCAGGTTAACATACATGCTCAAGTCAAGGTCAGCATTCATGCAAGCATGCAAACATGCATGTACCCATACATGTACACATGCACAAATACATGTACCCATACATGCACGCACCCAATAATGACACACATTTACACCTTCCCCCATTCAGACGTTGATATCACATGTACAGAACATAATCGAATCAGAGCATGCGTGTGCGCAAACAAGATTGCACACACCTTGAACCCAGCAGGACAGGGGGAACAAAGACGATCCAGAGGGATCACCGTACAGGCAAGCACAGGCACACTCTTGCAGTGAGTACAACTGCACAATCGCACACAAGTGTACAAGTGAACATGCGTACTAACCTGGGTGATGGGCGCGCAGAGAGGCTCCCCCGTGTCTAGAAGGTCCAGCCCCGGCACCCGCCGCAGCACCCCCCTCCTCCTCACCCCTCCCACCATGCACAAGCCCGCTGCTCCCCCTTCCACTTCTCTCAACCCACTCTCTCCTTCCTCGCCTCCTCCACCCCTCCCAACAGAACCCTCACTCGCTTCCCTCCCTTCACAACCCTCAGCCACGCTCCCAAACGCACTCCCTCCCGCATATCCACTCCCGGAGGCACTCCCATATACAATCCCAGCAGGAGCAGCGCTGGAGGGGCTTCCATGTGCGAGTTGGTGCGAGCGGCGCAGGCGGCGAGCAGTGCAGCAGTTGAGGAGGTGCAGGTGCTGGTGCAGCAGGCACGTGTGTAGGTCCGGATCGCTGTCCTGAGGGACACGCGGGATGAACCGCCGCGCTGCCCACCGCCGCCGCAGCTGCGGGGGGGGAGAAGGGAGGGGTGGGCGCGCGGACAGGGGAGAGGGAGAGGGGACAGGGGACAGGGGACAGGGGACAGGGGACAGGGGACAGGGGACAGGGGAGAGGGGAGAGGGGAGAGGGGAGAGGGGAGAGGGGAGAGGGGAGAGGGGAGAGGGGAGAGGGGAGAGGGGAGAGGGGAGAGGGGACAGGGGACAGGGGACAGGGGACAGGGGACAGGGGACAGGGGACAGGGGACAGGGGACAGGGGACAGGGGACAAGGGAGAGGGACAAGAAACCAGGGGAGGAAGAAGAGTGGCGAGAGTGGTGAGGAGAGTGGTGATGAGGGGAGAGCGAGAGTGGAGTATATTGGTCATGGTCAATGCAATCATTGCACCTGACGGGCTCCACTCCACAAATAGCGCCCCTTCTCCCACCCCCTTCTCCCTCGCCTTCCTATCCAGCAACCCATCTCGCGAGGTGTCTAAGGACGTTGGGTGCCCATTCCACCACCCACCTCCACCGCACTCAGCTCCACCGCACCCACCTCCATGACGATCTGCATCCAGAATCCCGCCATCTTAGAGTCTGATGAGATCCCCGCCATCGTCTCTGCCAGCTGAGCCACAAACCCACTCGGTGGCGCGCCGTGGATCTCGTGCACAATGGACGGCTCGGATCGCCCCGTTGCGCCTGCCTGCTTGTGGCCTGTGAGGCTGCTGCTGCTACTCATGCTGGCGCTGGTGGTTTGGCCGAGCGACAGAGGCTCCAGACCTTCTGCAGTCTCCCATGACTCGTCCTCTGGTTGTGCGTGAGGATTGGGCGAGAGGGATGCGATGGGGATCGGGTGGGGATTGGAAGGCGAACGGATGGGGAGAATGGAATTGGGAGGACGGGACGACGATGGGGGGAATGGAATGGGGAGAAAGGTAGAATTGGCAGAAGGCCTAAGCGGGATCGGGTGAGGGTGGCAAATAGACAGGGCAGGGAGGGCGGCACACAGACAAGAGCCATGCAATACATGGAATTCAGCCAAAAACAAGAATGGACTAATACAGCTGCTCCCAACGGGACGGACCAAGACCGACCGATAGAGGACAGGAGCACAGAGGGCAAGAGCAGCAGCACGCACCAAGGTCAAAGAGCGACCAGAGCAGTGCACTGTACTCCCCAGGGTTGAACGCCAGTGTGCGCGTGCGACTGTGCCTGCGCCCGCCACTCCCACCACCACTCCCCCCTCCTCCTCCTCCGGTAAAGCTAAATGTGCGGGCAAGGCTGGGAGTGCCACCACTACCACCACCAGAAGTTCCTATACCACCACCTCCCCCTCTCCCTCCCCCTGACCCTTCACTACCAGCCATCCCACTGTGTGCTCCTGGGTTGGAGCCTTTAGGAGCGAGACTGAGCGCTGCAGCCAAGCCTGCTTCCACAGTCTGTAATACAAGAGACGACCACCGGTCACTGCCACTCGCCCCTGCACCAGCACCACCACCAGCACCACCATTAGCACCGTATTCGTCGTCTCCTCCTCTGCCCCCTCCGCTCATGCCACTGCCAGCGCCACCCATGCCGGCTCCCCCTCCCACCATGGACCCTCTGCCTGGCGTCCCTCGTGCCCCGCCGCTGCTGCTGCGTGCCTCTGGCGAGTCGTCCATGCTGCCTTCACATGCCATGTCCTCCACTGTTGCAAACGCACGCGCCATGCTGCCGGGAGGAGAGGGGGGGAGGGGGGGTGGGGCGGATGGGGGGGGTTTGAGGCGCCTCAGAATTGCTGCGTGCTTCTGGTGAGTCGTCACTGCTGCCCTCACATGCCATGTCCTCCACTGTTGCAAACGCACGCGCCATGCTGCCAGGGGGAGGGGAGAGGGGGAGAGGTGGGGCGAGGGAGAGGGGTTGGGGAGGGTGCGACAGGGAGATCAAGATAGCAGTTTTGAGGAACCTTTGGTTTTCAGGAAGGGTTACATTGCATGCCACGCCACGCCACGCCATGCCATGCCGTGTCTTCCACGGTTGCAAAAGCACGCTGCACCTGCATGCTGCCAGAAGGGAGTGGAGTGGGCGAAAGGGGGTTCGGAGTTCAAGGTTTAGGGTTGACGGTTTGAGTGAGCTGTGCTGGGAGTGACTTTTGTGAGGCGACTGAGATGGCAGGAGGAGCGACTGGACGCGGGCTTGGGTGGAGTGGAACCGAACAGGATTGAGCAGCAGCAGCGCGAGATGCTCTGGGTACGGCAGTTAGAGTTTTGAGACATCACAACCATTGACTATTAAAAAGCCTGAGAGGAGAGGGTGGGAGCATGCAACAATACACAGGCAAATGCACCAGAGGAAGCAGAACAGGGTGCAGTGCAGGGCGCAGTGCAGAGTATGGAGTGCAAAGGGAGCAGAAGAGCAGAGCGTACTTGAGAGCCTGGGCGAGGCGGCGAATGGTAACAGAGGAGGGCACGGAGATGGGCTGGAAGGCGTCCTCCATGTCCCCCTCGTCCATTGACTCCTCCCGTGCTAGCTGTTGGGGGCATGGGGGATTGTGAGGAGGTATGGCGCGCATGGGGGTTTGTGAGGAGGTATGGTTCGCTCTTTGAGTCGAATAAAAAGGGAGATGGGCTGGAAGGCGTCCTCCATGTCCCCCTCGTCCATTGACTCCTCCCTTGCTAGCTGTTGGGGGCATGGGGGATTGTGAGGAGGTATGGCGCGCATGGGGATTTGTGAGGAGGTATGGTTCGCTCTTTGAGTCGAATAAAAAGGGAGATGGGCTGGAAGGCGTCCTCCATGTCCCCCTCGTCCATTGACTCCTCCCGTGCTAGCTGTTGGGGGCATGGGGGATTGTGAGGAGGTATGGCGCGCATGGGGGTTTGTGAGGAGGTATGGTTCGCTCTTTGAGTCGAATAAAAAGGGAGATGGGCTGGAAGGCGTCCTCCATGTCCCCCTCGTCCATTGACTCCTCCCTTGCTAGCTGTTGGGGGCATGGGGGATTGTGAGGAGGTATGGCGCGCATGGGGGTTTGTGAGGAGGTATGGTTCGCTCTTTTAGTCGAATAAAAAGGGAGATGGGCTGGAAGGCGTCCTCCATGTCCCCCTCGTCCATTGACTCCTCCCGTGCTAGCTGTTGGGGGCATCGGGGATTGTGAGGAGGTATGGCGCGCATGGGGGTTTGTGAGGAGGTATGGTTCGCTCTTTGAGTCGAATAAAAAGGGAGATGGGCTGGAAGGCGTCCTCCATGTCCCCCTCGTCCATTGACTCCTCCCGTGCTAGCTGTTGGGAAGCACGGGGCGCATGGGGGATTGTGGGGAGGACATGGGGCGCTCATGGGGGCATGTGGGGTGCATGCAAGCACATATGTAATGAGAAGTTGTGGCAATATTTGTGGGAACAGGTAGAACGGATACGTGCTCGATCATAACCACACAGACACACACACTTACACACATGCGCGCGCACGCACATACACACATGCACGCGTAGACACATACACTTACATGCACGTGAGCGCGCGCGGGCGAGCGCACAAGCCCACACACACAATTCGCAACTCTACCTGTTCTGATTCGTCACAAACCCTTCCCATTCTTCCTCTAAATTTATCCGAGCACTTTCTTCCCTATTCCAGCAGTCAACTATACCACCAACAGCGTACCCAGCTCTTTTCGCTCCAACCTAGCTATCACCTCAACATTGCTACACCAGCTCCCAGGTCCGATGAATATATATTCCTACTGGCCCCACGCCACGACTAGTACCCCCACCCAAGCAGCTATGCCCTACCTCCCCTCCCCTCCACCCACCCATCGAGCGTCGCATAGCCCACTCCTTGTCGCTCCTCCCCCTGCCCACAGGTGACTCTTGATTCGACTCAAAGCCACGACTACTAACCCCAGCAGCTACGCCCTCCCTCCCCTCCCCACATCCCCTTCCGCCACCCACCGAGCGTCGCATAGCCCGCTCCTTGTCGCTCCTTCCCCTGCCCACAGGTGGTCTCTGCTTGCCCGGCGACAAAGGCCGCCCGGCTGGAGGGGATGTCCATGGTTGAGTCCCACTAAACGACATTGAACGTCGCCCACTCCCCGTCCGTGGCAGCGCAGACTCCCCTCCGCCACCTTCTCCTCCTACTCCTCCTCCCGCTACTGCTGTGGCGCCAGCAGCAGCATTGTCCCGGGCGATCATTGCCGGATGGGGTGTGCCAGAGCTGCCACCGCATTTCAGCGAGGAAGTGGAAGAAACGAGATGTTCCTTACCGCCACTACCACCACCACCACTGCTTGTACCTCCATCAGTAACACTACTAGTTCTGCCACTCGTGCCACGTATGTCTGGGGTTAATAATTCTTGACTCATGTCTGGGGTCATGCCGGTAGTAGCAGCAGCAGCAGCAGCAGCAGCAGCAGCAGCAGCACCAGCACCAGAACCAGCAGCAGCACCAGCATTGGTCATGGTAGAGAACGATGATATGAGTGACTTGGTCGATGGGGCACTCCCATTAATCCCCCTCTGCTGCTGCATCTGCATCTGCAGCTGCTGCTGTTGCTGCTGCTGCAGCTGCTGCTGGCTATCCGGCACCTCCTTCTGCGGGTGCTCGTGCTGCGGCGGCAGCAGAGGCTGCGTGAGGACTCGGTGCTTGACGGCCTTGACGGCTACGAAGTAGCGCCGCCAGAACTCCTGCTCCTTCATCACCCGAGGCACAAACCGCAGCCGCAGCTGCCTCAGCTCCTCGTCCACCTGCCATACGGCGGATGGGAAGGAGGGACGAAGGGTGGTTGGAGGGCGGACGGGGGGGACGGGAGGTATTGGGGGGGGTTGGGAAGCTTGAAAATGAGGATGACGGGCGGTGGGGGGAAGGGGAGGGGTTGGGGGACGGGAAAGGGGGTGGCGGAGGGGGTAGTTATAACGACAGCAGCACGACAATGGGAATGGATAGCATGCATTGGGAGGTGGCATGGGGAATGAGAAGAGGGGGAGGCATGCGAAATTAGAAGCAACAAGAGAAGGGGTGGCCACGTGGGTGAAACACCGTGAGGAGCACAGGGAGATGCAAGGGTAGAAGCACAGAAGGACGTACAGGGAGAGGCAGAGAGCGGGGACAGAGGGAACGGAACGGGGATAAGGGAGAAAAACGGACAGTCTGGTAAATGAAAGAGGGAGGAATATCCATGTCGGAGGACTGTAGTAGTAGAGAGAGGGACGGACGGACCTGCAGCACAGACGCAGCCATGAGGGTGGCTTGGCGCATGTCAATGAGCAGCGATGGGTCCAACTCGCCGTATAGGAACTCCTCTGGCCTCTGCACAGGGTTACATGAGTAGAGTAGAGTACAGAGCCCATTGGAACCAGCAATTGTATCCAGAACGCGAAAGCGCTATGGCAACCGCCGGAATGTCCAAAGTGTGTTCGGGGAAGGGTGAACAGGGCGAAGGGGAGAGCGGGCGAGCGGAGGAGCACGGGGGGGTAGAGAGACGATACGCAAGCAGGCAACAGACAGCGGTACACACCTGTGAGAGGGCGAGTATGCGCTTCTTGAGCTCCTCCTCGTATGGCTTCTCATGCGCTGACTTCATTATCCATGGCAGGTGCTCCTCTGCCGCCGCCACATGCACAACACCACATGAATGAGTGAATCATGTATGAGTGTATGTGCACATGCAAACGTGGACGGATTCATGCATACATGCGCGCACGCACGCATGCATACATATAATGGGGGTTGGACACAAGAGATGAGATCCAGGCACTGGCAATGCCTCTCATAACATGCCTCTCATAACAGACGGAGAAAAGTTATAGCATGTTCCAGTAAGGACATGAAAACATGGCCCAAAAAAAGAGAGGAAGGAAGACAATTGCTTGCGCGCCATTACGAAGCCAACCATCCCAGCTTCAGCCCATTGCAAAGTAAACGTACGGGAGAAGGCAGGCGCGACGAGACCGGGAGAGTGGGAGTATGGCGAAGAGGCTCTGGCGGGAGCTGCTGTGGACCCGCGCGGAGTGGAGGACTGTGCGGCAGAGTGGTCTTCGCCCATGCGCGAGGCTGCTGCTCGCAACACTGCGCGCGGTAAGGCCACCACGGGCAGACAAGGTTGCGGGGATGGGGTGTGATATGCGGGGGTTGGGGAGGGAAACAATGGCGTCGGAATGATTTTTTGGAAAGCAATGAATGACTCTATGGAAAGCAATGAATGACTCTGAGGAAAGGGATTGTAACTCCTGAGGACTCTGAGGAAAGGAATTGTAGCTCCTGAGGACTCCGGGAAAAGGAAAGGAGAAGCGTGGATGATTTCATTGCAGGAAACGACGGGAACGGACGGGAAAGGGACAGCAGGGCGTCGCGAGCACCTGATTTCGTCGCTCGGGCCACGAAATCCATGGCGACCGCCCCTCAGTGCAAGGGACGAGCTTGATGATGAACAGAGAACGTTGCTACTGCTGCTGCTGCTGCTTCGCCTTGGGAATGACAAGCACTCTACAAGTATGTCATGTTTAGAGACTTCGAGCATCTAGCCGCTCAGAACATTCAGGACTAGGAGCTCGCACACGTTACAGCCTCAGGGACCCTTTCGTTTGCTGTGTCTACCGCGACGGGTCTATCGCCATAATGAACCCGCCATAGTTAACAAATATCGCAGGAACGTTTTTCAGGAAAGACGGCCAGAATACGGCGACAAGGAGCCGGTATCCAACCTAAGTATGGACTCTGAAACGTTCAAGTCCCATCAACAAGGGATGTTCGAGATTGCTCGACAAGCGGCCATTGAGGGGACACCATGTCATTAACGAGGAGGAAACACAGGAGTAGCATATGGCGATACTGCTTGTCAGACATGCGACATCCTGCGTAGATGGATATTTTGAGGTGGACTGACCCTGCGTGCAGTATGGCCGAGTGCCTGAGGAAAATGGGATGGGACTTGGGATTTGGGACATAGGGAATTTTGTGTACGGAGCCACTCCAGATTCCAGCTTGGAAGTCTGAACAGCAGCCTTGGGAACTCCTGCCTTGGAAGGATTGGGTGGAACTTACCATTACACCCACTTCATTCTAGGCGAGTGTTCGTGTTTTGGTCAGGTACCGTATTCAATATTTGAAGTTTAGGTTAGCAGTAGGCTTCCCCAACGTGAGCCCATGTGCTGCTTTGCATCATGCTGACACAAGACTATATAACAGAACACTTAGGTACTTGTGAAAAGGGAGTTTCTAGATCCCAAATGAGGGATCCAACCTTCCTACTACGGTAGTAATGACAAACAGGGCAGTACATTGATATCAAACATCAGGTATCCATGCTGGCAGAACCATCACCAGCAATCACATGTGTCAAACGTCCAGCAGAGGCATACGCATGCATTGACTGCCCTCCAAGATTATGCATCTGGTGGTAGTATTGCTGACTAGGCTGCTGATGTTGCAGGCTGAATTGTGCAACTGGTTGGCCACCTAGTGGCTCGGGATTGTGATACCCAGGTTGAGGAGGGCCACTGAACAGCTGCACATGTCGGAGTCCCGGGGGAATGTTCTGAGCAGGGGGGCTTTTCAGAGGAGAGGGAGAGGAAGACAACGGCGCAGCAGAAGGAGCAGGGCCAGTGCTGCTGGTTAGATTGACAGATGCACGAGCATCCGTAGCTGGAAGCTCAACAGAAGGTTGTGCTTGTTGCACTTGATGAACAGCCTGAGATTGCTCAAAGGTCGGTTGCCCAGGAGACTGCTGCTGCTGCTGATACTGCTGCTGCTGCTGCTGTTGGTGCTGCTGCTGCTGCTGTTGGTGCTGCTGCTGTTGTTGTTGCCTTGAGTGGTGCAATTGCTGGGAATTCTGCTGACGATGCCGCGATCCACCCTCTGCACTTCCTCCCGCACTACCGTTTGATCCGCGAGGGCGAATATGGCAACGATCGAGCTGGGAAAGCAACGGCGCATTACTTCCCGACAGAGTGGGAAGGACCGAGGCACCGGACGGCCGTTGGGAGGAGCAAAGATTTCCCAGAGGAGGACCGTCGTCCATCCGATCTAGCTCACCCTGTGGCGCAAAGGAAATCACCAAAGCGGGGAAAAAACCTAATAGTCAGTTTCGGGAAGGTAAATACTGCAACGCAGTAAAAAAAAAGAAACAACAAAAACAAAACAAAAAACGGCAAGGCGCCAGAACCCGATGAGAAAATCAGAGCAACGTCTCGCATTACTGCATGGGTTGTATGGATAGCCTACCTGAATAAAGTCCAGAATCTGCTCCTTCGAAACGAGACCTGAGCTGCTTCCCCCAGCCCCCTGATTCAATGTCAGCCATTGCTGCAGACGGGACTGGGATTATATTCGAAGCAGAGGCCAAAACAATAAACGTGAACGAACGGGGGTGGAGCAAGAGAAGGGGAAGCGAGTAATTTGGTAGAGCAAAAGAGAAGAGAGGGAAATGATAAACTTCGGAAAGGAAATGAGGACGCACAAGCGCATGCCGCTCGCCGGACTGAAAGGCGACTCGTTGTTGGTTTTGCGCCTGGGAATAGAGCTGGGACAAAGAATTAGCGGCGGCGCAGAAGGACGAAAACAGGGTTTTGTCACCGTCTTCAAGCCCTGGTCTCTCCGACTTCCTCTTCTTCGGCATGTCTCGCAGATTCAGGGACCAGCTTTAGTCCAGCGCCTTTAATCTCCGGTTTTTTTAGGTCCCGGATAACCCTCTACTCCAACAACACTATTTCCAGGTCTTTCGGCAACCGTCGACCTTCTTCAGCAAGCCTTCCTTCCTCTCAGAACCGTCTCAGATTTTGAATAATTGCTCTTATCAAACAGTCAAATACCGCCTGCGAAGAAGTGCGAGCGGGAGTTTCAGGTGTGAAATATACTCCCTTTCCCTCATGGAATCAACTTTGGGGAAAGGGTTTGATCGGGAATAGGGGAGAAGAACGAGGGTGTAGGAGGTCATCGTTACCGGCCCACTCCACACCACACCACCACATCAGACCATACCACATCACATAGGGTTTTGCCCAACACTCGGATGTACCCCTCCGAGAAGGAGGGTGGTGAGGCGTGCTGCTTGTTGATTGGTCAGACATGTGAATCCAACCATCGTTTGGTTGAATGGCATGCCATGTGCGATGTCCCCATCATGCGCTCGATGAATTTGCGACAGTTTTTGCTGTGACTGGTCCCTTGGTGAGTGTGCCGTTGTGTTTTCCCAGGTGATTTTTTGGCGGCTTGTGCAACTTTTCGCCCAAGATACACACACAAACACACACAATTCTCGGTACAACAACTTCGTTATTGTGGTGCCACAGAAACATAGGATTAGGGAGGATGCAACTACATTTCTTCATTACGCAAGAGTCTTATGGATTGTTCGTCAGTCTTGCCTGATTCATAAGACTCTTGACTGGTTTAGCAGTTCGCAGGTTCAAACTTCTCAACTCTTGACCTGGCCCCAGCGTCAACTGTCACGCAATAAAAATACCGTCACGCCCAACACGTCATTCATTCAATCCTTCATCATAATCACACCAGACCGAGGATTCTGGACATATGCCCCAGGATTGGGAAGACGTTTCAGTAAGGGTAGGGAGGGAGGGATTTTAGTAAGGCTGGATAGTGTTTGTACTATGATTTCACGCATATTTAAGACACACGGTTCAGGATATGCATACACAGGCTTGAGGTGGATGGAAGTACTACCGTACCAGTGCGATCATGCTTCCAATACCCATCATTTAGTTGAATTGAAATGTTATGACCCAACACGTATACTAGCATGGTGTAACAGTGCCAATTTACCAATTAAAGGACCTCGCCCTTACAGCAGGTCTCCGTCCCCTCCCAAAAAGAAGAGCAAGTGGGGCAAAGGGGAGGGGGTGGGGTGGGGTCCTCCCTGGGACATAAATTTGGCGGTTTAAATGAGTGCTTGCATGCCCATCTGCTGCATCTCCCTCAAGCGCCACTTGGGCTCATTTGGATCCTCTGCGAGATCCTCCAATGATGCCTGCTGCATGGCCCATGCATGGAACATGGTCATTATGTTGTCCTGTTGCCACACACACGCACACATACATGCACACACACACGCACGGACACAAGGTCATTCATTAGGCAAGAAATAAAAGTGGTGGCGGCATGCAATAACAAAAATAAGAAGGTAAGTGATGGATGGTACTGATGGACGCGTGACAAGCAGGGGAGGAGGTGGCGGAGGACATGGGAGGACGGTACCATGCACGTGGATAGACTTGGAAGCTTACCTTCCCCCCTTCATGCACCTTCCCCTGTTTGTCCATTAAGCAGAAAATCTGCTGTGATGTAAACTGCGCTCAAAGGGACGAAGAGACACACAGAACATACCACATCTCATAACAGATGCATACCACGAGTGCGCACACACAGGCACACAGACATGCATCGCATGTAGGCCCGCAGGTGGTCACAGGAACATCCGCATACAAGCACATGAGTGAGTATTGAGATACACATGTGGAACAGTGTGGATTGATCATGCAAAAACTGCATGTATTGTGAACCATTGAGGAAAGAAGATGCTTCAAATGCCAAATGCAAAACGAGCAAGGAGCAAGGAACGAAGAGGGAGGAGGGAGGAGAGAGCAGAGAGGAGAGAGGAGGGAGGAGGGAGGAACGAGGGGCTTACATGGAGGATGATGACAGGATCGTTACCGACCAGCTTCACCTCCCTCACTTCCACGTCTGCGTGGTGCAGAATCTGCAGCGAGAAAGGTGAGGGAGGAGTGGGAACAGAGGGAGGAGTGGGAACAGCGGGAGGAGTGGGAACAGCGGGAGGAGTGGGAACAGCGGGAGGAGTGGGAACAGCGGGAGGAGTGGGAACAGCGGGAGGAGTGGGAACAGCGGGAGGAGTGGAAACAGCGGGAGGAGTGGGAACAGAGGGAGGAGCGGGAACAGCAGGATGAGATGGGAGAGGATGGAGGAGACGCAGGAGGAACGGATACGGAGACACGCCCTGGCGGGGGGGATAAGGACAAGGATAAGGACACACACCCACACACACCACACACACCCACACACACCCACACACACACATCCGCCTGTACCACAGCACCCACGTATACCGCACCACACCTTTCCAGCATGACCAGACATCCATGAAGGCTTTACAGAGCAAAACGATACAGGAAACATACACGTGCAGTTCGCGATTCCCACCATCACCCACCAGTCTCTCCCAGCCCTTCCACCCGGCGCTCCTCTTTCTCAAAAACACTGCATTGCATCCCCTCCTCTCATTCTTTTCTACCCCATCCCCAAGCCTCCCCCTCTGTCTCTCCAACACTTCCTCCCTCATTTTCCCCGTCCCCCACAAACCGACACCCCTCAACCCGAGCCCGTGCATCCTCCAACGCGTCTCCCCACTGTCCCTCCACCCCTCTGCCCCCCCTAACCTCTGCTCCTCACTCCCTCCACGCCTGTGCCCGAACGCCCCTCTTGTCCCTCTCCCCCCCGTGCATCTGACCCGGTGGTGCGCGTGCAGGCTCTGTGCACGCATGGCTTCTTTGAAGTGACTCGATAAAGTATACATGGCCTTTCAATCCCTCTACCCCTCTCACCCCCTCTCTCCCCCTCTCCCCCCGTGCATCTGACCCGGTGGTGGGCGTGCAGCCCCTGTGCAAGCATGGCAGAGCGCTCTGCCCGGCACCGCTACCCCTCTCTACCCCTCCCTCCCCCTCTCCCCCCACGTGCATCTGACCCGGTGGTGCGCGTGCAGGCCCTGTGCACGCATGGCTTCTTTGAAGTGACTCGATAAAGTATACATGGCCTTTCAGTCCCTCTACCCCTCTCACCCCCTCTCTCCCCCTCTCCCCCCGTGCATCTGACCCGGTGGTGGGCGTGCAGCCCCTGTGCAAGCATGGCAGAGCGCTCTGCCCGGCACCGCTACCCCTCTCTACCCCTCCCTCCCCCTCTCCCCCCCCGTGCATCTGACCCGGTGGTGCGCGTGCAGGCCCTGGGCGAGCATGGCAGAGCGCTCTGCCCGGCACCGCTACCCCTCTCTACCCCTCCCTCCCCCTCTCCCCCCCCGTGCATCTGACCCGGTGGTGCGCGTGCAGGCCCTGGGCGAGCATGGCAGAGCGCTCTGCCCGGCACCGCTCCACCACCTCCTTGCGACACCGCGCCTTGAGCGCTGCTAGGTCGCCCTGCGGGTGGGACATGCACGCACGCACACATGCAGGTGAGCAAGCGGACGTGTGGGTGGGAGAGATGGTGGGTGGTGCATGGGTGGGTGGGTGAATGGGTGGGCAGGGGCACGTGCATGAGGGGAAATGGGACAGAGAATAGCGTAGATGGTGGAGGGATGGGGACGGAGGGGGGACGGAGGGGGGACGGAGGGGGGACGGAGGGGGGACGGAGGGGGGACGGAGGGGGGAAGAAGATCGGAAAGGATGAGGAGGGAGGAAGAAGGATGGGGATGGAGGGGGAAGGATGCGGAAGGATGGGCAATGGTTGGGAAGGATGGGGAAGATGTGGAAACATAGCGGAGGAGACGGAACAGTGTGGAAGTGAGCACTTACATGCATGTAGGCGTTGAGCACAGGCAGCACATCCTCCTGCACCTCGTGGATGAAGTCCGAGAGAGAGAAGTCCCTGGCGCGTTTGAGGGGAGCGGAGGGGTGTGCGTCCAAAAGATTGCGGGTGGTGAGGTGAGAAATAAATATTGGGATCACGTTAGAGAACCCTCGAAGGCACAGGCGGCACATCCTCCTGCACCTCGTGGATGAAGTCCGGGAGAGAGAAGTCGCTGGCGCATTTGATGGGAGGGGAGGGGTGTGCGTAACGATGGTTGGCGGGGTTGGTGAGCATTATTGGGATCACTTCTGAGAACCCTCCAAGGCACAGGCGGCACATCCTCCTGCACCTCGTGAATGAAGTCCGGGAGAGAGAAGTCGCTGGCGCAGCATGGAAGGGGAGGGGTGTGCGTGTGCGGAGATGGGTTGAGAAGGATGGTGGGGGAGGGGAGCATGGGGTGGACGGGAGCAGGATGGGGTGGGGATGAAGGCAGGGAGGAGGTGGGGGGATGGTAGATGTGACGAGGTGTGTGGATGTGGAGAGGTCTGTGCGCAAGGAATGAGCGATACCAGAGAGATGAGCACCAGGAATGAGGCACAGAGGTGGCTGGAGCATGAGAAGACATGGAGTGGAGTGGGGTGGAGTAGAGTGGAGTGGGAGTGAATGCAGGATACCTCCGGCATGCTATGTTATGGGCATGGAACCATTCAACATGGCATGGTATAGCATGTCAACTGCAAGGTATGCATGTTTAAAGCATGGTATGGCATGTCAATGGTAAGGCAATGCGCGGGCATGGCATGACAAGGCAAGGCAGGGCAGCGTACGGGTCTCTGCGTCTGATCTCCTTTACAGCCATGGCTGTCGCCGTCTCCCCAAAGATGGAATCATTTAAACTGCATGGCACCACATGGCATGGCACGGCACGGCACAGTACGGCACATCATGGAACGAAATGGGAAGATCAAGAAAGGCAATCAGGAACGCCGTTCACGAGAAGAAGCAGACAGGGACAAAGGAGGATCGTTGCAGAAAGGGGTAGAAAGAAACGAGCCAAGTGTACCGCAGTGCTGTATGCATCCTGCCCCTCCTGCAGTCTTTTGAGGCGCCTCAAAAGTCGTCTCAGTTCTCAAGGATCGTTGCAGAAAGGGGTAGAAACGAACCAAGTGTACCGCAGTGCTGTATGCATCATCCTGCCCCTCCTGCAGTCTCTCTCCCCCCCTTCCCTCACTACTCTCCCCTTCCCCCTCCCACCCCCCACCCATCCCCCCCAAACTTACTCCTGTATGTGGTGCACGATTACTGAGGCGCGTCAACCCCCCCTCACCCCCAACAACAACTCACTCCTGAATGCGGTGCACGACAGGGCTGTCGCTCGTCTCCCACCGGTGACTTTTGAGTCGACTCAAAAGTCACCTCGTTACCATGGCACACGACGCCTCAACCCCCCCCCTCACCCCCAACAACAACAACAACTCACTCCTGAATGCGGTGCACGACAGGGCTGTCGCTCGTCTCCCACCGGTCCTTCATCTCATCCACCACCTGTTCTTGCACATGCACATACACACACAGGTCACACACAGGCGCACATGCATACACACACATGGGGGGAGGGAAAGGCAGGAGGAGAGTGGAGTGGAGTGTGAGGGCGCGATAGGGTTCGACGCGAGAGGGTGCCGAGCTGAGCAAACTCACTGAATGGAGGATCGTAAAGGCACAAGGAGGACTGCGTACAAGCGTGCGCCATTCGTTAATCAGAAGGATCAGTTGAGAGAGAGCGGGGCAAGGGAGATCAAATAAGCGAGAGCGGGGGAAGGAGAGTAGGGGAAGGAGAGTAGGGGAAGGAGAGCAGGGGAAAAGAATAGGAGAAGGACGGACGGGCGGGATGTGAGAGTGAGATTGTAAGTGGGGGAGCTGACCTCCTTGCTCTTGGTGACGATGGGGTGGTGCTGTACGCCGTACACCCGCTGCACCACCCAGTGCTCCCTCACCTGATGGTGGGGAGAGTCACCAAACACGAGCATGACCATGCACATGCACATGCACATGCACATGCACATGCAACCAAGCATGCCAACATACCGATGCCATAGATCATCATTATCATCAGCAGCAGCAGCAGAACGTGAAACAAGCCCGTGTAAGGAGAGACGTTGCATACATACCTGGTCTTTGGAATTTCCAACAGCTCATTACACGTAATGAGTGGGAGGTGTACATTTAAAGCAGTGTTTCATGGTGTGACATGGTATGTACCAGTGTGTTCGCCCATCAAACCGTGAGTGTGGTTCGTGCTGTGGTTACATGCATCATCCAGCAAAACACAGCTTAACACCCTTCCTCCTCCCCTCCCTGCTAAAGCTCCTTCACCCTTCCACCCGTCTCCTCTCCCCCTCCCCTCTGCCCTCTCTTTCTCCCTCTCCCCATCTCTCATCTCCCCATCACCCTTCCTCTTTCTCTTCCCTTCCTCTTCCCCCTGCCCCCCCTACTTCCCCCCCCAGCCCCTGCCCCTCCCCGCGCACCTTATTCAGCACACTCTCAATGCGCGCTCGCCACCACGGCACCTTCCTCTTCACCACCGTCAGATCCACGCGATCCGACGGCTCAAACGCCTTGGCGGCGGCTGCCATGGCCTCTGCTTCCGCCTTGCGCTTGGCAGCCAGGCGCTTGGCGGGAGGCGTGGTGAGCTCCTCGCGCACAAACAGCACCGCCTGCACGGGGGGGGGGGGAGGGAAGGGTTAAAGGGGGAAGAGTCGTTTGGGGGAAGAGGGAAGGGAGGGGAGGGGAAGAGAAGGGGAATGGGGGCGGGAGAGGGGGAGTTGAGGGGCGAAGGGAGGGGCTATTGGAAGAGAGATGGTGGGGTGGTGGGAGTTGGGGGTGTGCGTGTGGGGATGAATCACTAGGGCACGCGGGGAAGGGGGATGGAGGTTGCTGGGATGGTGATAGCATGGACAGAGAACAGAGAAGCTATACGGAAACTTGCTGCATTCTTCTCCGTTTTCGCAGCAGACAAACAGACAGCACGGAAGAGCATTACAGCGTGGTGGGGAGAAGGGGGCGAACGGAGCTTGTATTGACACACGAAGGGAGGAACGGAGGCTGGACGATAACGTCATGGGGATGATGATGAAGAGAAGAGGCATCAGGCATGGCGGGCTGCAAAAGCCTTGATTCCTTCGATACGTAGATTCATGCGAGACACCCAAGAAAAGCAGGGTTTCGGGTTTTATTGAACATTTTTACTAGTGAGGGGATTTGGCATTGCAAGGGTTTGGCGTTGGACGGGTTTATGTGCTAGTATTGTGAGGGTTTGGTAACGGAAGGGTTTAGTCGGGTTTAGCATTGAACAGGTTTTGCAATGTGCTAAAATTGGAATGTCAGGGTTCACAGGGCCAGGGGTCCTGCAAACCCGCATAGGCGCCTGGCGAAGGGCGAAGGCTGGTTCGACGCTTCTTCTTCTTTTTGTTCAGCCTGGCACACTTTCCTACCCTCTCACCTTCTCCCCCTAGCCCTCCATTTCCCCAGACACACTCGCCGATCCGCAATCCCTCATTCCCCCATCCGCAATCCCCCATCCGTATTCCCCGTCCTCACCTTCTTCACCCTTTCGAAAGGACCGGATCGCGCCAGCCACGACACGCGCGAAGTCACGAACCCCACCACGCGCTTCACCACCTGCCGAGCCCGATCCAACGGCCACACCACCTTCGCTCGCCCATCACTGCCCCCCGCCGCCCCGTCGCTTGCTTGCCCCTCGGATCCCGTTTCTCCTCCCGCTTCTCCGCCTGCTCCCCCCGCTCCCCCGGCTCCCTCAGACCCCCCTGCGCCATCCGCGCGGGCTTCAGATCCGCCGGCCGCGGACGGACCGGTACCGGCGGGCCCAGACGCCTCTTGCCGCTGGTCGCTTCCCGTCTTCCCCGCGCCCGACGACGCTTCTTGACTTGTGTTGACTGCTGCGGACCACAAGGACCGCGAATGCGATCGCGGATTCGATAGATGTGAGCTGACGGTGGAAATCCGATGAAAGGGCGAATCTGCTACTTTAGATGGTCCTGATGAGATCAGAGGATCGAGATCTGGTAAACTGACAGCGCGGAGAGCGGTTGGGAGCCACGTGGCACCTAGGGAGCTTCGGATCTGGGCCGATCTGGTGCCGTGGTCTTCGCTAAGAACGGCTGGTTGATTGGAAACACAGTCCGTGCTTCCGATGCTTCCGACGCTTCCGATGCTTCCGAATCTTCTGAGACTTCTTATGCTGCTGCTGCTCGATGTCAGGAATCGGGGTTCGTCCGCGGTATAGCCGCCTTCATGTTCCTGCTTAAGTAGCGCATTGACCGCGGTGGATAACGGACGAGAAGCGGAGTCCCGATTGTGATGACGGATCGTGTTGCTCTGAACTCGCGAGATCAACGCTGACGGTTGATACTCCCGAAGAGCAGGCGGCGGATGACCCCGCCACGTGTCAGAGATCGATTGGCGGAGCGAGGGCAGGAGCCGGTTGCCCCGTTGAGGCCACATCGACACTGCTACGCGGTGTCCGCGCGACCAGACGGGGAGGGAAGTCGGCGAGAGAAGATGGCAACAAAAGTGCGCGTCAAACGAATACTCTCGATCGCGGGACGGATCCTAGCACCGAAGGGAGAAATCCGTCGAGATGAACCCAAGGGAGCGAAGGACGGTACTGCACTACCTGATGGTGCTGCCGACGCTGACAGTTGGTATTGGCAGCTCTATTTGTGGGCTGTATGGAGTGGAGTACCGTATCTGGTCAGAGATTACTCGTATGTTTCTCCAGCTCAAAACGTGATGTCCAAGTTTCCAGTGGTCCCCTCGGTTTCCTCTAGAAAGCCCAGGAAATCCGCGACAGCTCACACACATCTGGCTCCTGCTGTAAGCGACGCGATTTTTCTAGCACCAGGCGAATGTGGGCGGCTTTTTGCGACGGCCAAATGTGAGGTGTGCGAGGAAGCAGCGCTCGCAGAATTGCTGACCAACGCTGGATGAAAGGCCAGGCGAAGTTGAGCGAAAGGACAGAAGTGACACGCAACGACCTTCAGAATCGTACGATTTGTGCGGAAATACGCGATAATGGGCCTCAGGCTTTCAAGGCATGGAGCAAATGAAATAATTAGATGGGAATAGCAAATATAAGAGAATGTATCTAAGTGATATTCCTAAACTATGAACCAGATCCATCAACGGCGGCTGGGGATTGCTGTGACGCTAGGACGGGCTCGAACACACGCATGGCAGCTTCATACACAGGTCGTTTAAATTCCACTGCCTGTAAAACAAAAGCACATCGCAGTCACATGGAATTCACAAGCACATGGAGAGTGAGTGGGTATGTTGTCTAAATATACAGGACGAGCAAGGAGGGAGATAGGGAGTGGGAGAACAAGGCAGAGCAGGAAAGAAATGGGGACGAGTGAGAGGTCTACGAGGGAGAGTGGGGGTGGAAGTGGGGGGGAAGGAGAGACATGACAGCCACCACCAGCCTCCCCTTTTGTAAGGCGCAAAAAAAACCCATCTTACCCTGCAAATCAGGGTGTTATTTCTATACCCTCAGATCCCTCCACACATTCGCCCACATGCAGTTGCACTAGGATTTCCACTTTCTCAGCTATTTCACCTCCCCCTCCCTTCCCCACCCCTACTGCGTTCCCCCTGCGTTACCTCCCTCCTCCCCCAACCGCATGTCTCACCCCAGCCACCACGTCAGCAGGCGGCAGCCACTTGTACTCGGAGAACTCTGGCGGCTCGCCTCCCTGCCCCTCCAGATTGATCTCGCTCTCCTCCCCCACGAAGCGGAACAGGAACCTGCCCATTGCATGGCATGGAGGGATGGCATGGTATGGTATGGGATGGGTTGGGTTGGGTTGGGATGGGATGGGATGGGATGGGATGGGATGGGATGGGATGGGATGGGATGGGATGGGATGGGATGGGATGGGATGGGATGGGGTGGGGTGGGGTGGGGTGGGATGGGATGGGATGGGATGGGATGGGATGGGATGGGATGGGATGGGATGGGATGGGATGGGATGGGATGGGATGGGGTGGGGTGGGATGGGATGGGATGGGATGAGATGGGATGGGATGGGATGGGATGGGATGGGATGGGATGGGATGGGATGGGATGGGATGGGATGGGATGGGATGGGATGCAATGGGATGCAATGGGATGCAATGGGATGCAATGGGATGCAATGGGATGCAATGGGATGCAATGGGATGCAATGGGATGCAATGGGTGGTCCAGGACAGGGGGGCAGTAATGCACGGCATCGGTGCATTAACGCACGGAGCTGCCATGATACCATCTGCACACAGTGACACATACACACCACAAACTGCACCGCTCCCCTCCTCCCTCCCTCCCGTCTCCCTCTCTCAAATCGCTCCCACCCTCTCCCAGTTTCTCCCAGCTCTCACACTCTCTCACACTCTCACACTCCGCTGCTTCCCCCACACGGCCATGCGCACCATTTCTGAGCCTGTCCCTTCCACTCGCGGCCCCACTGCACGGCAAGCTTCTGGCGCACAGCGGGGGGGAAGTCGTAGCACAGCCACTCAGGCGTCTGTGAATAGGGGGAGGAGCGAGGGGCGCACAGGGAAGAGCGGCAGTTGGGGCGGGTACAGTGGGTGGCGGGGAAGGGAGGAATGCAGGGAGGCGGTGGGGAGGGGAAGGAAACATGGGAGCACGTCCGTGGTGGGTGGAAGGGAGGAACAGAGAGAAAGCAACAATCAACGTGCATGTGAATGCACCGGTTGAAGCAATTGGTGGGTACCAAATAGGTTCAAGTCTCATTCAGATGTCACACCTTCTTCCTCGCTCTCACAACTACCGTTCCCTTCCTTTCCCTTTCCCTCCTCTCTCCCGCTTCCCCTCCCCCTTCCCCTCCCCTCCCCCCTCCCCCTCCCCACCTCCGCGAGCAGCAGAGCGGACGAGATGCCTGTCTCCTCGCGCAGCTCGCGCAGGGCGGCGCTGCGGATGTCCTCCCCCGCATCAATGCCGCCCTGCGGGGACGCACGCGCGCGGAAAGAAGGCGGGAGCGGGAAGGGGGGAAGAGGGGAACGGCAAAAGGGGGATGGGGGAAGAGGGTGTGGGAAGAGTAAGGGGAAAGGGGAGCGGCGGCGGAGAAGAGGGTGTTGGAGGGGAACCATGCGCGGAAAAGGAGGCCATTGCGCATCTGAAGGGAGTATACTAAGCAGCAGCGGGAATCAGCTTGCTGGCCCTGGCTGATTAACCTGGAGGGAGTGCGAAAGGTGACTGGGTGCTAGCCTGCTAGGTAACACCTAAGACGGGCGGCAAGCTGCACACACACTCTCGGGCCAGCCTCAGCCTGCGTCCTAGGTGACCCCGTAACGGACGCCGTGAGTGACGCTGTGAGTGACGCTGTGAGTGACGCCGTGATTGATGCCGTGAGTGCCACCGGGCGTGCGAACACGACGTGCGCGTGCGGGGCAGTGGAGTGGAGCGCACCTGCGGCATTTGCCACGCGCCCGGCATGTCCAGTCGCGACGCCACGAACACCTCGTTCGCCGCGTTCACCACGCACACCCCCACGTTCGCGCGATACCCCTCCGGCGGAGCCTCCGCTCCGCCGCCGGCAGAGGGCGAGACGCCACTCGCGTCAGCGGCCGATGTCGCCATGGCGACGACTGCGGCGCGACGGGCGGAGCCTTGCGGCGCGCTGATCAGCGACGGAGTGCAAAATACGCGGAGCGACGCGGATGTGGCGGCTGGGTACGCAGCGCTGGCGGCGGAGGCGCGGGAGGGCGCGAGCGGGACTGCGTCGCGCGCGGCTGGTGCGCAGGCGGAACGGGACGCGGAGGTCGCAGCAGGTGCGATGGACGAGGGGAATGAGGAGCAGGGACGGCGCGGCGAGACGTGTGCGTGCGCGTGCGTGTGACGGCGAAAGGCGGCGAGCGCGGCAGTGACTAGGGCGGGGGTGGAAGCAGCAGATGCTGTGGCGACGACAGAGGCGGCCATGAATAAATTGGGCAGAGGATCGAGAAGGGGAGATTGGCCTGACTCTTTTCTGTGGGCAGGAAGGGACTGAAATGGGTGCTATGCCAGCACCACGAGAGAGGGTAATCGCGGGATTGAAAAGTGCTGACGGACAATATCGAAGTAAGGGCGTGTAACGTTTTCCATTTTCGTCAAATGTCCGGACAGAGCCCCCAACACGTCCGAACGGAGCTCCATCCGAACACTTGGGACTCAGGTCCGGACGACAGCCCGTCCGGACCAAGAATGTGGAACTTTTTGCGCTGTCGAATTTTTGATAGAATGTAATACGCATTACTGCAGTCGTAGAGCGTCGTGAGTTTCGCCACAAAAAATTCGCGGCGTGGTACTGGGTGAGATTTTCAACAAAAGCGCGCACCAATGACAGCGCAGCAACACGGACGGTCCGATATGCCGTTCGGACGATGTCATCAAGGTAGTCCGGACCATTTTTTGGCAGAAAAGTGTCAGACATGGTCCGGACGATGGCGACGTCGCAGGGCCTCTCGCGAATATCTTAACGAGGTGTTGCGAAATAAGTTACCCTACAAAAGTCCGGACGGGGCCTCCGTCCGGACGATGGAATAAGTTACCCTACAAAAGCTGATCTTTGAGTTTGGTGATATCGAGGTGGAGGGAGGAAGTTATTTTGTTGGTTGATAGGTGTAGTGCTTCGCATGTACAGAATACAACTACAGTGAGGATGGCACTACACTTGAAGGCGTATTTTTCTGCGCGTGTCGTTTTCCCATGCTGTCAGGCCCTCCACACCAAGGGTATTCATTACTGGAGGTTCAGGCAAATGTCAAGTGAGGTACACGTAGATTGATTTGAAATTGGAATGAGAACGCTGTCCCTGGTGGATTCCTCTGGTCTCAACGAATTTCGATGCAATCTCGAAGTCACTACAGTAGAGGATGTCTGGGCACACCACAGCAATCAAATGCTCTACTGCTCCTCGCCCCAGCGCGATTTCTATCTGTGCCTTCAGTTTCCCGTTGCGTGCGCTTGACCGCGTCGCGTTTCGATCAAACGTCACTCGCACGACCGTGCTGTGCTGTCCACGTGTTGACTCCACACTCTCGCCGCACCGTTATCCTTGTCCTTCTTGATTTATCGAAAGACCTCCGACACTCTCTCTCCCGCATTCTCTTCACTACTTCTCGCCCCCGCGCTCTCCCCCTTCTTCCGCGCGCCAAGAAATCCTCCCCTCGCCGCGATTATCTCCCGCCAGCCGCCAGCGCTCGCAGGAAACCCAGCGCGAAACCCCGCGGAACCGTCGAAAACCGTCCAACAGCTCGCTTCGGAACCGGCTGTAGCGAGAGTGCGGCGGCCGGCGTGTGGCGACAACGTCGATGGCCATGTGGCGGCAAAAGACCATCTCGCTGCCCGCCTTCAGCCGCGGCTGCCACCTCGTCACTCCGCACGTACCCTCGCCCTCTGCCCTTCCTCCGCTCGTCTGCTTGCCTGTCTGCTTGCCTCCGCTCGTCTCGTCTCGCCTCGGCTTGTTTCCCTTCCAGTCCCGCACCCCCTCGCTCTATCTCTCTGCCTCTCTGCCTCTCTGCATCTCTGCCCCTCGTAACTGCACCGGGTTCTACTCTTCCGTCCGCCCTGCCGGTCGTTGTGCCACTCATTACCGCCCGTTCCCTTTCCTCCCCTCCAAAGCTGTCCGTGCGCTCGTTACGCGCTCTGTTCTCTGTTCTCTGTGCTCTGTGCTCTGTGCTCTGTGCTCTGTGCTCTGTGCTCTGCGGTCTGTGCTGTGTGCGCTGCGCTCTCTGCTGCGTGCATCAGGTGGTGAAGCAAGTGGAGGGGGACCTTGCGGCCTTCAAGTGCGGCCTGGCGCACATCTTCAGTGAGTGGCCCAGCACTAGTGACGGACACAAAAACACCCCGCCGGACTCACTAGTGCGGATGGGGAGGGGGGTGGGAGATACTGGTGTGGGTGCGCATCTGTGTATGTGCGCTTAAAGCGTAGGAGTACGCTACATGTGCAAGCTGCGGTGGAACACTCGTGTGTGCCCATTCTTTCTCGCACCCCCACTCTCACACACACATGCGTGGACACGAGGCAAAGGCACAAGCACAAGCACAAGCACAGGCACAGAGCCAGCCTAGTTGGCAAGACTTTCAACTAGGAGGAATTTCAACAGAATGTCTGGCTTAGTCAACCACCCTTGCATCCTCTTTTCCTTCCCCGCTCCTCCTCTCTCTCCCTCTGCTTCATCTCCCCTTCCGTCTCTAACCCTGTTTCCCTACATCTGACCCCCCTGCTTTCCACACATTCCGTCCTGCCCTTGTGCCCTGGCCGTTCCCCTTACCCCATGCCCCCTTACCCCCGTACCCATGTGATCCCTTACCCCCGGGCCCCCTTGCCCCTTCGCCCAATCACCTCTATACCCCCTTACCCCCTTGTCCCCTTACCCCCGTCCTCCCCTGCCTCCATACCCCCGTGCCCCTGTTCTCCCTTGCCCCATGCCCATGCTACGGTGCTGGCGTGCATGGGGAGCAGTCCAGCACACGAGTGCGTCGCTGACCATCAACGAGAACTGTGACAGGGACGTGCGCCACGACATGGAGGCCTACCTCTCCTCACACGTCCCTGAGGTCGCCCTCTCGCTCCTCTGCTCCCCCTCCCTCACTCTTCCCCTCACTCCCTCCCTCATTCCCTCCCTCACTCGCTCCCTCAACTCCTCCCTCATTCTCTCCTTCTCTCCCTCCTTCCCTGCCTCCCTCCTCCCTCCCTCCATCCTTGCCGCCCTCCCTCACATCAATCTGCTTGTCAGCGAGCGCCTATCCGTGTGTGCATTCATATTTATTGCATCCTCTGCCCTCCACCCTCCAAGCTCTCTGTGTTAGTCGCCATGGACCACACACGCTCGTGCAGCCGTCATTCCACTATCCCACCCACGCATCATCATCGCCTGCAAGCGCTTTTGCTCGCTCAGCCTTGGACCGCTTGCAATGCCCCAGCCCCTGCACTCCTCACTCCATCTCGTTCCGCGCAGCGTGCATCTCGCTCGCGGTCCTCACTCCCCTCGAACAATTCCCTCTCCTGCTCCCTCTCTCCCCTCACCTCCTCTCTCCTCACTCCCGTCTCTCTTTCTTTCTCGTGTCGTGTCATGCAGGGCCCCAAGGCTCCTTGGCGCCACACGGATGAAGGTCAGTCAGTCAATCAGTCAGTCCTGCACTCCACTCCCACACCTCTCAGCCAGAGCGCAAGCCTCTGCGTGCCTGCCTGCACTGCACCTCGCTGTCCCCTGCTGCTTCCTCTCAACTCACGCATGTCTTCGATCCCATGCCATCCTAATCTGCTTGCTCTTTATCACACATGCGCTTCTGACGTTAGCATCGTCGCACACTCTCACACACATGTGATTTTGAGAATTCTCAAGGTGAAGAGCGCTCAGATTGGTCGGAGTAGACCATGCGTACCCAAAGAGTGCCCATGCTGCACACACATCCAAAAGAGTAGACCATTGCAGGTAGAGAGAGAAACAGCAACTATAATTCCCTCGACTAGTCAACCCCCCCCCCCCTCCCCCTCCCCGGCGCGTCCCTCCATCTTGCCCATCCTCATCCCATCTCCTGCTCCTTGCCCACCCCCCTACCTCGTGTTACTCCCACCTGTGACCTGTCCCATTCTCTCGGTCGCTCGGCTGTGTGCATCGCACAGGCTATGACGACATGCCAGCTCACGTGAAGGCGTCACTCTTTGGCAGCTCCGTCACGTGAGTGCCCACCCACCATCGCTCCCTCTCCCCCCCCTTTTCCCCCCGCCCCCACTTTCTCTCTCTTTCCCATTCTCGCTCTCTGCCTCTCTGCATTGGTTTGTTATGCTCGTTTGTTCATAGTCATCTTGACACGCCTGCTCTGTTGTTTCTGGCCCTCCTTGCCCTCATCCTCCCTGCCTTGCTGTGTGTCGCCATCACCCGCTTTTACCTTGGTCACCCACAATTCCGCCAATGCCTCTCCACTCCTCTCGCGTCCTCCCTCCTCTCTTCCTCATCCCTCCTCCCCTTCCCTTCCCCCCTGACCTTGCCTGTCACTGCATCAACTTCCCTTTCCTCTCACTGCCCTCTCCCCTTCGGCCTTGTCCCTCCCTCTCTGTCCACACTTTCAAAGTTCCCCGCTGCTCTCTCTCACCTTCTCCTCTGCTCGCACCTTCCTCTCTGCTCGCGCCTTCCTCTCTGCTCGCGCCTTCCTCTCTGCTCGCGCCTTCCTCTCTGCTCGCGCCTGCCCCTCCCCACCCCAGCATCCCCATCACGGACGGCCGGCTTAACCTGGGCACGTGGCAGGGCATCTGGCTGTGCGAGCACCGGGACCACGGGGGCTCGCGCCGCCTCGTTGTCACGCTCTCTGGCTCCTCCACGTGATCTCCCTCCCGCCCGCCCACCTGCCTGCCCACCTGCCCGCCTGCCTGTTTCTCTGCCTTCCTGCCTGTGTTGCTCTCGTTCTTGATGCAATATTCAGCCTCAGTGCCTGCCAACCAATGTGATGGTCAACGTCGTTTCGTGTAATTCGTATGTTGCGTCGTCGTGACTTTTTTTTGGGCGAAATGAGTTGTAACTCGTCAACAGACAACTACCGTGCACGATGGGTTCTCTTCGCCAGGAGCCTTGCACAGGATTGCAGTGCAGAGGCCAGCCAGAGTGCTTGCTCTCTCGTGCAACTTGATTACTACCAGTACACTGCCTGTGAATGTCCTTTCTTTACGTAGGAGTTTGGTTGATAGTTATCGTTGTGTGAAGGCAGATGCGGCCAATAAAAACGTCCGGTGGCAAACTGGGAAGAATCTTCTAGTCCCCACAAAACGGAATGTGTGGGGAGGGAAGGTCAATGATTTGAGAACGTGCAGGTCGTCGTGAAATGTTAACCGGCGCTTCAGACCACATGATTTTCCCTAGTTTCTAATCTTCTGAACGAAACACTCAATAAAGAAGATGAACCCACCTTGCCACATTTCGTCCCTCGTGACTCCGTCCCGATGCCTACACGATTCCGCCACCATTCCTTCACACACTTGAGCAAGTGCATACGGAATCAAACACGCCCTGGTTCCTCGCGATCCCAGCGCGATTCACGGGACCTCCTACAACCTTTCTCCACCGGTGCCACTCCGGACTGCCGGCCGGTCCAGCACACGCACGCAATGGCGCGCGCCGCTCCCGCCGCAATAGCGCGTCCCGCACCCGCCTACTATGGCGCGCGTTCCGCCGTCCATTCAGCTCCTTCCAAATCCCAATGCCGCCTCGCACCGACCGCATTCCCGTCAGTAGCGCCTGGAACAGCAGCAGCAGCACCATCAGCATCACCACACGTACGGTCGACAGTTGCATCCCTCACTACACCCTCTCGATCGCCTTTCCTGTCCTCCCCCTCCTCCCCCTCCTCTTCTTTCTCCTTCCTCTCCTCTTCCGCTCGCCTCTTTTCATCCTACGGCCGATCTGAGCTCGCAGCTGCAGCATTCCATCGTGGCCGTTCGCGAATAGGCTCCTCTGAGGGAAATGCAGCGGCGGGTTCGCCGGGTGGGGGCGCGGCGAGTGCGCTGTTCGGGCTGTTCGGCGGGGGAAAGGAGAGAGAGCGCGAGAAGAAGCAGAAGGAGGCTTCTATGGCGGCGCACGCCGATGTGCCGGTTCCTTTCAGCGCTGACCTTCTCGCGGGAACCTTTTTGGAAGGTGAGCCGGCTGAGTGATGCAGCTCGTTGGTTCTTGCACGTCGCTCCCTCGCAACTTGCGTGTTTTCCTTAGAGCCTCTTTCGTGCTTCATGTCGAATCGATTTCGTCCCCCACTCTCCTTCGATTCGATGGTTGGGATGATGCCACTAAGTGCTTCAGTACCATCCGCCACCCCGCCTCATGCTGCAGCACGCATCCAAAAAAGTTACATCTACCGCACCCCTCCCTTCACTCTCCCAGCGCTCTATATCCCTCATCCCTCCCCGTCCGCCCTCCCCCAACCCGCCAGGCCGCGAGCTCGCGTGCTGCTACCGCGCAACGCAGGACGGCTTCTCCGCGTCCGCCTTCCACGCGCGCAGCGACTTCAAGGGCCCCGTCGTCGTCGTCGCGCTCGCGCCCTCCCCGTCCGCCTCCCCCTCCGCGCCCCTCGGATCCTGGCTGCGCTTCGGCGCGTTCAACCCCGACGGCTACCGCAGCACAGACGACTATTTCGACTCCTTCGACGCGTTTCTCTTCTACTGGCCCGACGCGCCCGCATCGCCACCCTTTGCACCCATCTCCACCACTGCAGAAACCGACGCTCCCGCTCCTTCCGCTGGCACCCCCCCAGGAAAAAAAACCCAGCTGAGGTGCACGTGGGAGGAGGCCGAGTGGGGCATGCCGGAGCTTCTACGCAAGGTGGGAGGCAGCGGCGCGGCTGTATTCGACTACGCACGTGGCGGCCCGCAGTTTGGCGCTGACGGGCTGTTGATCGGCCCGCCGCTCACCCCCGTCATGGGGGGCCTTGCTGGCCCGGACTCCAACTCGGGCGTGGGGGATTTGAGTACGGCGCGGTCGCGGCTCGGGCTGTCGTATGAGAAGCGGCGGGATGGAGAGGACTCGGTGTTTGGGGGTGGGAGAGAGGCGAAGGTGGCGGAGGTGCTTGTGTTCTTCAGCCCTGAGATTGCTCGCCTGTATTGATTGACGTGTATGCTTGCGTGATGCCGGAACCAGGGGAGAGGAGGGGGGAGGGGGGGGGGGGAGGAGCAGAGGGGGAATGGGGGGGTCGAGTGGCGGAGGTGCTTGTGTTCTTCAGCCCTGAGATTGCTCGCCTGTATTGATTGATTCGGACGGACGGATGGATGGTTGTGTGTTGAAGGAAGGGTGGGTGGGAGGGAGGGTAGTATGGTGCAGTAGAATGGTGGATGGATGGATAGGAAGCGGCAGCATGCAGTGCAGTGCAAGCAACGCAATGCAGTTTGTTATTTTGGAGATTGAAGAGAAGGAAAGGGAGGGAGGGAGGGAGAGGGAGCACTAAAGGTGTTCCGGTTCACTGGTTAATTACCATCAGCATACGTGAAGCTGTGCTTGCAACAGCAAGTTGCTGTAACAAGACGTCTTCTACCTTTTGTCGTTTCTCAGCAGATCCCCTCTATTTGTTTCTCTTCGTTCCTGAGTAATTTCTGGGTAAAAGCTGAAAGGCTGCATGTCGTTACAGAGCCTCTGGGGTTCCCTCTGACTGTACTGCTGTGCACTACCAGTCAAGTGCACCCCCAATGACACTACAGCCATCAGCGGTTAAAGGGAGTTTCTATCAACAACACGTAACACTAGTGCTTTCGCCGTTGATGCCTGTGCCTATCCTTCACCTAGCAGCACCAGAAATCAATTTCTTACCAGTCGTCAGCCAGGGCTCAGGATTACGGTATGCTCAGACCAAGAGACACAGGAAAAGGTGCCTACCATACAAGGCATGAAGAGGCAGGAAAATGAGCAGTGAACAGATGAACGAGAGATCAACCATTCACTGAGCTGGCTAGAGTAGAGTGGCATCTAATCAATAAGCCCACCTACGGTAATTAAAATCTCCTCTGATCCTTATCGCCAACCGCCCTGCCTCCATCCCCTGCCCGTTCTCTCTGTGTGCAGACCAGACTCAGAATGTCCATTGCGGAACGGGTCATTGAATTGACCCACCAAGCAGCATCATCAGGACAACAACACAAGGCGCCCCTGCCGCATGCTACCTTTGTCTGTGTCTGTGCGGCTGCCGCCCTGCTGTTGCTGCTGCTGCTGCTTCTGCTGCGGGCACTGCTGGTGCCGCTTGCTCTTCAATCGCAACCACACATGGCATGGCAACACCACCACCACCAGCAGCAGCACCAGCAGCAGCACCATCACCCATCATACCAACCAGCAGCAGCAGCATCTCCTTATCAGCACTGCTCCACCACAACCTCTCCTTGATCCCTTTTGCATGCCATCCGTCCGCCCACCACGACAGACTCTTGCTACAACACTGCACCCCTTACTCCTTTCTCACTCTCTCACTGCTGCTGCTGCTGCTGCTGCTGCTGCTGCTAGTGGCAACCAAGACATGCGACGCAAGGGGCCAGCCGCATGCGCATGCGCTGGAACCCCACCCCATGTCCACCCCCCTTCTTGCTCCCACAGCCTCTTTCAAAAGCACAACTATCTCTATCCCTGTCTTGTCTCTACCTATCTCACGTGCCGCGTGCGATAATGAGATCCAGTGTGCGCTCTGTGAGGGCTCTGTCAGCGGCCGGCCTCTATAGATGAGGAGCTGTCCACTCCGGCTTGGGGCATAGGGGATGCGGGGGGTGGGGAGGTGGCGGAGAGAGAGGAGTGGAAGGTGGTGCGAGGGGCCTTGGAGGAAGAGGAGGACGTGGGCGAATGAATGGGCTTTCTGCGCTCGATAATCTGCATGGGGGGCGGGACGGGAGGGGAGCGAGGGGTCAGTTTGGCGAGTGGTGAGTGGCCATTTTCTATGCGCCTAAAAAATGGGCGAGTGGATCGGCTTTCTGTGCTCAATGATCTGGGGGGGTGGGGGGTGGGGGGGGGGGGGGGGGGGGGGTCTGGTGTGTGGGGTAGCTACACAAAAAGAGGGAGGAACAGGCATGTCCGACCAAAGCAGGTTGAGTCCAGTGCAAGCGTACACAAGGCAGACATAGGGGCGATGTAGAGTGAACCTTCAAGTCAGCCAGTAGGGAGGGAGGAGCAAAGGAATTGCGGAATAAAGAGGCCGGAAGAGGCCAGAAGAGGGAAGAAGAGGGGAGAAGAGGGGAGAAGACGGGAGGGGAGGGGAGAAGAGGGCAGAAGAGGGGAGAAGAGGGGAGAAGAGGGCAGACGAGGGGACAAGAGGGCAGACGAGGGGACAAGAGGGCAGACGAGGGGAGAAGAGGCCAGAAGAGGAGAGAAGAGGGGAGAAGAGGTGAAGACCAGACAAGAGGAGAGAAGAGGTGAAGAGGAGAGAAGATGAGAGAAGAGAGAAGAGGAGAGAAGAGGAGAGACGAGGGAAGAACGAGGGGAGAAGAGGAGAGACGAGTTTAGAAGAGGCAAGGGCACCTTGGGGCCGCGGTAGAGTCCTCGTTGCACGACAAAGTCATCTGACGGCTGGAACTCCTCCAGCCAGCAGAACGGATTCCCCCGCTCCCCGTTCACCCCTGGGGGCAGCGCACCTGGCAGCAGCAGCAGCAGCAGCAGCAGCAACAGCAGCAACAGCAACAGCAGCAGCAATGGGTGAGGAATGCGAGGAGGGAGGAAGGGGAGGGTTGTTTGGCATGTTGAGAGACATGAACGAAGCGAGGTAAATCGGTGTAAACGAGGCGGGAGGTGCAGCACGGCACACGCGGTGGCAAAGTGAGCAGAGGGAGAGGGAGGGTCAAGGCAGCAACAGATGGCAGCGGGAAGGCAGGCAGGCAGCAGGCAGCAGGAGCACGCACTGAGCGAGGCGAGTTCGTGGTAGTAGCTGCAGTGGCGGCCGGCATCAGCATTGTAGGGCGGGGCAAGCACGTCCAGCACAGCGCAGGGCGTGACGGCCGTGAAGGCGTGCAGATTGCCCCCACACGTGGGATGCAGCACCTCTGTTGCACACGGCGCTGTGAGCACCTGGTCCTCCACCAGCTCTGCTAGCCGCACTGCATGGGAGAGAGAGGTGGGGGGGGGGAAGGCGATGGGGGAGTTTTGAGACTTGAACGTCTCAAAAGCCACACGTGGGATGCAGCACCTCTGTGGCGCACAGCGCTGTCAGCACCTGGTCCTAAACCAGCTCCGCTAGCCGCACTGCATGGGGGCGGGGAGTTGGCGCGTATGGGGGAGGGATTGGGGGAGATTTGAGATGCTACAACCCCCGCACTGGATGTGAAGTGCAGCACCTCTGTGGCACACGGCGCTGTGAGCACCTGGTCCTCCACCAGCTCTGCTAGCCGCACTGCATGGAGGGGGGAGTTGGCGGGTATGGGGAAGGGACTGGGGGAGATTTGAGATGCTACAAAATCCGCATGTGAATGGCAGCACCTCTGTGGCGCGCAGCGCTGTGAGCACCTGGTCCTCCACCAGCTCTGCTAGCCGCACTGGAAGGGGGGAGGGGAAGGGGGGGGGGAGGGGGGAGATGGGGGAGGGATTGGGGGAGATTCGAGATGTCTCAAATCCCGCACGTGCTGTGCAGCACCTCTGTGGCACACGGCGCTGTTAGCACCTGTTGCCCTCCACCAGCTCTGCTAGCCGCACTGCATGGGGGGGAATGGGGTAGGGTGGGGGGAAGACCGGGGAGGGATGGGTGAGCGGATGTGAGGAGGGATGGGGAAAGGAAAGGGGTGCGTACGTGTGTGCCACACATGGGGCGCAATGCCTCCGTGGGGTGGGGGGCGGTGGGGTGAGACGGGTGAGGTGAGTGGGTGGGTGTCGTTACGTGGAGGGAGAATGAGTGGGATAGCGGCAGTGGGAGGGTGAGTGGGATAGCGGCAGTGGGAGGGTGAGTGGGATAGCGGCAGTGGGAGGGTGAGTGGGATAGCGGCAGTGGGAGGGTGAGTGGGATAGCGGCAGTGGGAGGGTGAGTGGGATAGCAGCAGTGGGAGGGTGAGTGGGATAGCGGCAGTGGGAGGGTGAGTGGGATAGCGGCAGTGGGAGGGTGAGTGGGATAGCGGCAGTGGGAGGGAGGGTGAGTGGGATAGCGGCAGTGGGAGGGAGGGTGAGTGGGATAGCGGCAGTGGGAGGGTGAGTGGGATAGCAGCAGTGGGAGGGAGGGTGAGTGAGATAACGGCAGTGGGAGGGTGAGTGAGATAACGGCAGTGGGAGGGAGGGTGAGTGAGATAACGGCAGTGGGAGGGAGGGTGAGTGAGATAACGGCAGTGGGAGGGAGGGTGAGTGGGACGTGCAGTGAGTGAGGGCGGGCAGGCCACACATGGAGGTCTGAGTCGGTTTCAGAAGCACACTGCTGATGGTAGGCTCAGATCAGATCAGATCAGAAGCGGCAATCATTCAGGAAGGCGGATCGCCTCACGAATATATCGCCTGTAGGACCCGCGGTTGTCACAGGCAGACAGATGGGAGAACGGGGCTGCGTGGGTGGGTGAGAGCCCATGCTACGCGCACGACGAACGGGGCCAGTACAGTGGGTGAGTAGGGGGCCGCGGCAGGGTGGGGAGAGTAAACAAGCAGTCAAAGAGAGGGGGAAACAGAACAGAACAGAACAGAACAGAACAGAACAGAACAGAACAGAACAGAACAGAACAGAACAGAACAGAACAGAACAGAACAGAACAGAACAGAACAGAACAGAACAGAAAAGAAACAGAATCAGAACAGAACCACCAGACGGGCAGCATACCATCAGGCGTCGCAGAAGCAGACGTGGCAGCAGCAGCAGCGGCAGCGGAGGCAGCAGCAGCGGCCGTAGCAAGGGCGACGGAGGAGGCAGCGTCATCAATGGGGCGCACCCAGTCAAAGGAGCGGATGTGCATGGAGCCATAGAGCAGCTTCGACAGCACCGTCATGCCCGGGTGGTTGTGCAGCGGTATGCGCGCCGACGCCGGCAAGCAGAATATGCCAATCTGTGCCGCGAATGGTGGGAGAGAGGGGGAGGCAGGGTGGGATGGATGGGTAGGAGGGAAACGGGGGTGGAAAAGAGGGTGAGCTGGATGGGTAGGGGGGAAACGGGGGTGGAAAAGAGGGTGAGGTGGATGGGTAGGGGGAAAGGGCGAGGGTGTGGGGGAAGGTGCGGAAGGGGCGAGGAGGAAGAGGGGTGAGAGAGCGACTGCAGTGATGTCAATTCCACAGCACGAACAAAATGCTCTGCGCTGCCATGGCTGGACGTCTTGTGGCGCAACTGCTGCAGTGGCTGATAGTGTGGCATGGCAGGCAGCAGCAAGGCAATGGATTCCAATGCAGGGCCGGATAGAGGTAGGGGGTGGGGCTGAGATTCTTCTACTCCAGAGCCTTTCCTCCCACACCTTTGCCTGCCAGCCAGGACATGGGATGGGACACCTGTGCCGTGCCGTGCCCTGAGAAACGGCAGTCCCTTTCCTCCGCCAGTAATGGGTTGGCAGTCGGTTGATATAGGAGCACGGGCTGTGTCCATGCTTTGTCCCCCCCAACCCGAACCTCAACCCTAACCTCAACCCGAGCCTCAACGCGCACCCCAACCCTAACCTCAACCTGGAGTTCAATTCCAGCCGAATCTGACCCCGACCCAGACCCCGACCCAGACCCCGACCTAGACCCCGACCTAGACACTGCAGGCCCTGCACCTGGCATGCATTGGCATGATCCCCAAGCCAACAGGGCTTGGCGTTGGCACGGCGCACTATCGGTTCTTTGCCTTCTTAACTACCGGTGCTCGTTGCGCCGCCACCCAACCCACAGCGTGCTGTGCTGCACCAGTTTGCTGTACTGTTCCGTTCCGTTCTCAACTCGTTCATTCTTGGACCGTGAGAAAGAGAGACGAGAGGGAAAGAGAGGGACCGGGAGGGTGGAAGGTGAGAGGAGAGAGAAGAGGGTTTGGGGAGGGTGAACAAGAGGAGTACGGGGCGAATAAGCCAAGCTACTCCGCCCAAAAAACCGCTGCACCCCTGACGTGTCTCCATCCATGTGCTGAGCTGGAAACAGCAGCAAGGGCAGCGGGGCAGCGGGGCAGCGGGGCGGCGGGGCGGCGTACCGAGAAGTCCTCACACTCGTAGACGTGCAGATACGTGATGGCGGGCGACCACCGCGCCTGCTTCCCCCCCCCCCCCGCCGGCACCGGCCCTGGTCTCCGGCTATCCTGCCCGCGCGCCCCCCCTTTTCCCCCCCGCCCGCCTCCCCCTTTCGCCCCGGACGCCGCTCTGACAGGGGAGCCTTCCGTCCCTGCCGCCCCTGCCGCCATGGCCTCTAGCCCCACGTCCGCCGGGCGGATCGCGTCTGGCGGGGAGGCGGGCGGAAGAAGCGAGGGCGCGGGGTTTTCCGAAGTGGGGCACGGGGGGGATGGGCAGGGGAGGGAAGTGGGGGGGGGGGGGGGGGGAAGGGGAGGGGGTGAGGAAAGAGGGGGGTTTTTTAATAAAGAAGAAAATACAAAGAACCCTTCTACTACAGCCGCCATGGCCCTCGGGACCTGTATCCGCGAGCGAGACGGCCACGGCCGAAAAAGGGTGGGGGGGAGGGGGTGGGGGAATGCGGGGCTTGAGACTCGTGGGAGTGAAGTAGGTAGGTGGTAGATGGGTCCGTGAGCGGAAAAAACGCGTGGGCTGAAAGAACGGTTGTATAACCCCGTGAAATCAGAGGATCGCGTTGCGACGACGCGACGCGCCCATACCTAGAATGGTTCGGACCCGTTGTAACGCTTGTGCGTCGGGAAGTTGCGAGCCAACGAAAGCGGCTCGGCACGCATCGTGAAGCTTCTGCACTTTGGGCATGGCTGCTGCGCGGTCGTCGCCGTCGTTGTCGTCGTCGTTGTCGCCCAGCGACACAAGACTACAACAACACCGCGCGACAACAGCCCGACGCGCCCTTGCGGAAACCCTAATCCCACCCCTCCTGCTACCCCTCCAGCTACTCCTGCTGCTATTGCTGTCCCCGCTGTCACTGCTCCCGATGCACCCCCCGCTGCTGCAACTACCGACAACCGCGCGACTCGCTCCGCGTCGAAGGCAGAAATCCGCTCGCGCTCGTGACAGCGGTCGACGAAACCGGCCACGCTCTATCAACCCCAACCCTGTCGCAGCAGAACGGTTGCGACTCCGCCCACTGTGACTTTGCCGTCCGGTTGCTATAACGAGAGGCGCAGAGCTCGGCGCGCAAGAGAAGATGCGCGAAATGGTAGAGAAATGCGAGATGGGCGAGAGGGAAGAGCGGCGCGAAAGAGCGGGGCGCGGAAGGATCGCGGACGGGGTGGCAATGGTGGCGGCGCGGAGGCGGGTAGCGGAGCGGGTCGAGTGCAAATTAGGGTTACGGCGGAAGTTGGGGCTCACGAATGCGGGTAGGGAGGGTAGTAGCGGCGTGCGAGAAGCATGATCGTGGGTGACAGGAAGGGGTGAAAGGAATCGGTGGAGAGCGGTGACGGCAGCAGCGCGAGGCGAGAGCGAGCGTGATGGGCGCAGACGAGCCACCAGCGGTCGGAGAGGAGAGAGAGCAGAGGGCGCCACGATGGCAGCGATGGGGAACGATGGAGGAGAAGAGAGGCGGAGGGGAAGGGAGTGATCGTCGGTAATGGAACGACGGAGGGATATATTGTGGTACGTCTATTTATTGTCAGTTTCGTACCAAAGCGGCGCTTATCGGTCAGTCACCCTCAATAACGGAAATGGCGTAAGGCACGCCCGAACGTCCTCCAGGGAACACAAAGCCCATCAGCCAAAAAAGAAACGAGAAGAAAGGAAGACGAAAAAAGAAAATTTCTGGCAAGATTTTCCTGTGCGGTTGCGCGCACTAAAACCCTTATTAGTTCCCTGTTAGACCATGCGCGATACGCGTTGAATGGAACACGCCTGATGAACCGAGCGCGCCGACCTGATACGCTAACCCACCGTTGCGTGACCCTCGCTACCTTCAAACACCCTCAAGGGCATCCCCACCAAACCACTCTTTATCTTCGCTATGTGACGAAAAAAGCTCACGTCGGCCAACAGCATGAGCGACGATCTGCTGAGGTATGGTAACCAGCCAGTCCAGCCTACCACAAGACAACTGCAGAAGGGCAGGGGTGAAGGGGAGAGGGGGTAACACTGCGGGTCTCACGCTGCAGGCTTGCATTGCAAAGCTCACAAACACAACGCCGAGAATGTCGCGCAAGGAGCGGAGCACTGCGGGGAGATGGGGGGGGTTGGATTGGGAGATGGATGGTGCAGTGTGGCCCACGGCATTCTCACCAGCTTGAGTTTTGCATAATATTTACACTACTGACTTTTCCTTCACTTACGATATTATTTTCCGCAAAGCTTACGGTGATTTACCTCATTGTGTTTTTTTAAGAGGAGCAGCCAAGTGCCCGTAACAGTTTTAGACGTATGGCTTATGTCGGTTGAGCACTGTGAGGGGGAATAATTCCGGCAGACCCAAACGGTTAGGTTTGCGACAAATTCGTTTGCCGCCCACATTATCATGAGTGAAAATATCGCATACTGTTTGCAAAATCCGCATCAGTTGCGCCGACGGGCGGGGCATTGGTGAGGGTTTTTCCGCACACAAGGCATAACGAGCTGAGAGATACGGTATGATCATAAAAAGATGCGTGCGACCTGCAACAGCACAACAGCGTATTAATGCAGTGTCGCAGATCTAATAGTGGAGCTTCACGTGTACTGCAAGTTCATATGCACAGATTAGTGCTGCTGTATCGTTTCTCTTGGGGGAAGTCTTCATGATCTTGGAGGGATGCTACTACTTTCATAAGCTGGTAGATGCTGCACAGATAATCATTAAGTTGTGGTGCTGGTGTGCTTCACATCTGAGAGTTTGTAGAGCTGTCTGTAAAGGGGGAGCGTTTCAGGAAGTTGGTGATTGGAGACTTGAGGCCTGGGTCACAGTAACTGCACACCCGCACTTCAACCCCAAAAGGATGTGAGTGAGAATGATACCGTACAAGAATGTCAGCCGAGCACATTCATTTACCGTGGATGTGTATTTTGATTGAGATAGCCTAGACCAGATGGCACAATTTCAAACTATGGAGCAGACTTGTCTGAGGCGCTCTGATTTGGAGATGATAAGGTGGAGGCAGCAGAGGGAGCAGGGCTTGGAGCATGTGGTCTGACTAGGGTCTGCCCCCTGAGCGCTGCCTGGTATCTATCGTTTATGTCCCTGCCCTCCTTGATTTCTTGCAGCATGTCCTGCACTCGCTGCTTGTTCGCTGATGCTAGTATCTGTGGACAAGAGCAAGAGGATAGAGGGACAGAGGGACAGAGGGCAAGAGGGACAGAGGACAAGAGAGAGAGAGAGAGAAAGAGAGAGAGAGAGAGAGAGAGAGAGAGAGAGAGAGAGAGAGTGAGAGAGAGAGAGAGAGAGAGAGAGAGAGAGAGAAAGGTACAGAGAGACATAGACAGCGAGACACAGGGGTTCACAGGGGTAAAGAGAGCAAGAGAGTCAGGGTAAGAGAGAAGAGGGCGCCTCAATATTCATCCAGATGATTTACACAGCAGCGTCGGCCTCACCAGATCTCCCAGTGCCTCAGGAAGGCCGGTGAGCAAATGAGAGGGAGGGCAGGCTGGTGTGCTACCAACAAGTGCAGGTTATTCATATGCAGCGTGCATGAAGGGCTCACGGTGCGAAACGGAGCTAGCCGACGGAAACGAGACACGACATGGGCACCACCGTGGCATCAGGCACCGGAACTCGCCTTCATCCCGACTCAACAGGGCAACCACGGCCAAAAACGAACTACTAACACAAATCCTCCCGTTAGCTTTGCCAGGGTCGCACCAGAGCGTCGGTTCGGCGAGCGGCGAGAAGCTCGCGGTCCTTCTTCTTGCCTCGCTCCGAATCGTCGCTGGGGTTGGTCAACGCCTGCACGCCCTTGGCAGCGGCGAAGGCGGACGCCAGGCAAATGGCAGCGAAGCCAGCGAAGAAGAGCGGGCTCGACTTGGATCGCCTCACGATCCAGCGGTAAGTAGCGCTCGTCGCGTAAAGAAAAGACATCATGCACTACATCCACGGAGACGGCGGCCCATCAACAAACCAGGAATCTGCTCACACGTTCTTGGTATATAAGTGCATCGGCGATCTCTCCTAAAAATAGTGTGCATGGTGTGTAGTAGCTCGAAGTGTTGGTTTATGCTGTACAATGACAAGGAAATATGGTAGAATGATTCGTTATGGACCGTTATGACTTACAAATAGATCGTCACTGAAGTTATAAGGGGGTGGTCTATGACAAAATATTCATAAATTTCTATAAAAACTGCCTGTAACATAGCCGTGCACCTTGCCTACCCTTGTCTCTTGCTTGTAATTCTTCTCATCCATTCTAGACCAAGTTCCTAAACCTTCGCTTGCTTCTTAACATGATGTAAGATCTTAAGAGCACATGGCCCTTTTCTCACAACCCCGTCGCGCCCTCCAGTCGCCCCCCTAGTGGCCCCGTCGACCTCGCTGGCCCCGTCGCGCCATGCTTGCCCCATTGACCATGCTGGCCCCATCGCACCTTGCAGGCCCCGTCGCGCTTTGCAGGCCCCGTCGACCTCGCTGCCCCCGTCGCGCCCTGCTGGCCTCGTCGACCCCGCTTGCCCCATCGCGTGCTCGCAAGGCGTACCCCCTGCGGCGGCGGCCATTGTGGGGGGAAGGGGAGGCGGCGGGGGTGTCATCCGTATGCCAGCAGCGTCAGCGTGCCGAGACGATCGCGCCCTGCTGCGACGGATGACGCTGTGGGGGGGAGGCTGCGGAGGTGGGTGTTACAATGTGAAAAGACGGATTTATAGGATCGTCTCAGGTTGATCGCGAAATGGTGTAGCAGCGGAAGTTTGCTAGTGAAGTCGGGTACGGACCCTGTCAGAAGAAGGAGATTTGAATCTCGACAGAAGTGACTATCACAATGCGGTACAAGGGTTTATCTAAGAATACAGTGGAATACGAAACGTCATAGCTAGCCATGTACTCTGAGGGGGTACATTCCCCTTAGGGCTAATCTAGATCGGGAACGCCAACCGTGCGGTTCGGTAAGAATACGGTAACTCTTTGAATGCATTTCCCGCGCTTGCATTTCGAATTCACTCTACTTTCAACCGTCTTCGATAACTGTTTGCGTCGCTCGGTCTTCGTCCTCGCTGCAGTCATCTTCGCGTTAGGGTTTCGTTACTACAAGAATGTTACGCAACAATTCCATATTGTAACACTCCCCTTCATTTCTAGAGGAGCGAAGACTTGACGCGCTTGGTTATACCACAGATGTTCGCACAGTGCTGGTACTGCTGACGTGGCAACTTCATGGTGAGAAAGCCAGCTGCCATGTCACCGGTGGGGCAGTAAGTCAAGATGACTTTGCCCTTGTTAACTTCGTCTTTGATAAAAGTAGCGGAGTACGATGTGCTTGGTGCGGTTGACAAAGCGGGGTTGGTTCGCGATCCCGATCGCGCTCTGGTTGTCGCAGTGAAGTTTGAAGTTGGCAGATGT